GGGGGGGGGGTTCATTTTTATTTTTTGATACTGTAATGAACCCAGACTGGAAGATACTCATCAGACATCGAAATGCAAGACAACTCAGATCTGGACAATGCAAGGAAAATGACCGATAGCGAACTTCAGAAACCAAGCAGCATCATACACATGAGACCAGATAGTCATGACCTCGAACCAAAAACAGAATTGCATCACGAGTCCCACCAAATAAGAACACAACAAAAGCTCATAAGTGACAATGTTCGAATAGTCTCATCATCATCAACAAAGAACCAATGTCGACATCCTATCTGGCACTCGGCGCCCAGATTACAAATGGCAGATCCTATCTAGCCTATCTACAACGCTGCTGATGACGTCAACAGCTCCCTGAAGTACGAGCAGATCTTGGCCAATGCCGTTTGCCTCAAGCACCAGGTATGTCTCTCGCCTCACTCATAACCTCGATCCCCAACTCACAGATGCCACATGCACCCAAGGACCACCATGCACCCCATCCAGCATACAGCAGCGCAGCTCGGCTNGATCCCCAACTCACAGATGCCACATGCACCCAAGGACCACCATGCACCCCATCCAGCATACAGCAGCGCAGCTCGGCTATGGCTGCCTGCTCCTTCCAGCTGGCCCGTGAGTGCGTGAGCGCTGGGCAGCGTTTAGCGCAGCAGCGCTTGCACAGCATGCAGCCAGTGCCCGAATATCGAATGTGTGGGCAGGCCCTTTCCTAAATGGAAGTGGCCTGCTTGCTTGCGTGCAGCCTGGCTGCGCTGGGCCCCTGCCCAGAAGCTTCCGGTAGGCCCAGAGAGGCTGAGCCCCAGTCCAAACGAATCAGGCCCTGGGCCTGTGGTGGTTGCCCGTGTCCAACTGCCCACGGCTTCTATTCGGTCCATGTTGCGAATCTGGCCCAGGGCCTGCCTTGGTTACATTCGAAAGAGGCAGCCTGGGCCTGGGCGCTCTCAACCAACTGGCGCTGCACAACTGCCTGAATTTACCCGGTTCCGTGATGACCCCAAAAATAGGCCTGTAGGCCCTGGGTCGAGCCTGCCTTCACTTAGGGAAGCCGACTGTACAGAAAATAGGGCCCAGTAGGGCAGATCGAGGCCTTGAGCCTAGCATTCCCTCCTCCATTCTTCGACAGTCCTCTGAGAAGTTGATTACTCAATCTGGCGCTTTCCTTTCTGCAGTGACTTCTCATAATGAGCGACAGCCTGTGGAGCGGTCTGCATCAGTTCCTCGCAAGTGAACCATCTATCTTCCTTTGGATCAGTGTGATGTCTGAACCGAACTCGGTATTACAGCTTCGACTTCGGAGGACGCCCCCTGCCTGTTGGTCTTGGAACCGGCATTTCTCTGTGGTCCACGATATCATCGATGTCAACCTCTCCATCCATGGTTGGGGGCAGCATCGAGCATCGTGGGGGAAACTGATCAGTTTCCTTGGATGGTGCAAGCTTAGAGGCGTGGAAGACAGGGTAAGTGCGAAGATGACCAGGGATCCGAATGACATATGATGGCCCATCCGGATCCTCTCCGACAATATCAAAAACCTCCCAAGGTCCAAAGTACTGTGGCATGAGCTTGCGAGATATCCCGTGCTCCTGTCCCAGTTCCGAGGATTTGGCCCAAACTTTGTCCCCTACCTGAAATGTAGATGGGCGGCGGTGTTTGTTCTTAGACTCTATCATTGCTGCCTGGGCTTTGTGCATCTGTTCTACCACTTGCTGCATCAATTGCTCATATCGATATGCAAATTCTAACGTTCCAGGTGCAGTCGTCGGCTGATTCTCAGGTAGTCGGAAAGTCTAGGCTTAAAAGTCAGTAGCAGGCTGTTAGGACTCACCCCTGTTGCATTGTGCACAGCATTGTTGTACAGGCTGGCGATGAGAGCAAGTTTCTCATCCCAGTCCACCTGGTTGGGCTTTATGTAGTGCCTCAACAGGTGTTGTACAACGCGGTTCAGCTGCTCCGCTTGCCCGTTTGCCTCTGGGTGGTTCCCAGAAGTCATCTGCGGTTGTGTTCCTTGTTCTGCAGCTGCAGCCTTCCACAACTCACTAGTGAATCGGACATCCCGATCACTTACAATGGACTTTGGAAGCCCAAAGTCTCTGACCCAGTTCTCTTTAAACAGCTTGATCACATACTCGGTTGGCTGTAGCAGGCATTGCGGCTAGCCTAGCATACTTGCTAAACTTATCCACAGTGACATAAACATATCTCATTCCGCTCTTGCTGGTGACCAGTGTGTCCATGAAATCCATTCCGGAATCGGAAGGGGCTTAAGAAGCCCAAGAGGGGCCTGTGTACGTGGCTTCTCTCTCTGACACACTTGACAAGTCTCCACATACAGCTTTGCATCTCTCATCATTGTGGGCCATCAGAAACGCTGCAACAGATTTGCTGCAGTCTTCCTGTACCCAAAATGTTCGGTGGCATCATGACACTCACCTAAAAATAAACTAGGCAAAGACTCTCTATTTGGAACACAAATGCTTATTCCCGGCCTTCTCAAGGAACAGCAGGCCGTTGACCAACACAAACTCGTCAGCAGTTGTTGTGTCTTTCGCCTCGAGTCTACATAAGATTTCGGCCATAAAGGGATCCTCGCGATAGGCTTCCACCAGGGATTGAGTGACATCATCCGCAAGCCCAATTCAGTGACCAGCGCACCGAGAAAGTCTGGGCTACGCGACAACGCATCAGCAACCTTGTTGTACTCCCCCTTAATGTACTGGGGTTCGAAGTCATACTGCTCAATGACTTCGATCGAACGCTTCAGAACGTCAGAGAGTACCTATTGAGTCTTCATCCATCTCAGGGTCTGATGATCAGTCTTGACATAGAAGCAGCGACCTAGGAGGTAGTGCCTCCAATGGGTTAGCGCTTTGTCGATCGCATAGAGCTCCTTCTCATAGGTGGACTCAACCAACTTTTGAGAGGGCATCTTTTTGGACATGTACTCTACCGGCCTCAACTTCTTCCCCTCCTGTTGCACAAGTACGGCACCAATGCCATACTGCCTGGCATTCGTAGTCACAACGAAAGGTTTGTTAGGATCAGGAAGTTTCAAGACCTCATGGTGTGTCAACCCATGCTTCGGATGTCTGAAAGCAGCCTCACACCTGTTTGTCCACTCCCATGGGGTGTCAAGGCGTGTCAGGTCCGTCAAAGGGGTGGCCACTATGCTATAATTCTGAACAAAGTTGCGGTAGTAGCCTATTATCCCTAAGGACCTCATCTCAGTCACAGACTGAGGACGCGGCCAGTCACGAATGCTGGCCACCTTCGCGTCATCGGGCTCCAATCCCTCCGCGGAAATCTCATGTCCCAGGTACAAGATCCGGGTGCGTCCAAACTCACACTTCTCCCGGTTAATCTTGAACTGGTGCTGTCTGAGGAGGCTAAGGACTCTATCTAAGTGCGCTACATGCTCATCGACATTCCTACTAAAGATAAGTATGTCATCGAGGTACACGATGACAAACTTGTCCAAGTAGTCATAAAATATCCGGTTCATCGCGTGCTGAAAGGTGCCAGGAGCATTGCAAAGGCCAAAAGGCATCACCACAAACTCGTATAGACCGTACCTGGTCTGAAATGCGGTTTTGTGTTGATCCTTGAGCCAGATTGCAATCTGATGGTACCCGGACTTCATATCTATCTTACTGAAGTACCGGCACCCTTGCACTCGGTCCAGCAAGTCATCGATGCGCAGTAGGGGCTCGACGTTCTTCACTGTGATGGCATTGAGGCCCCTATAGTCAATGCACATCCTCAAGGTCCCCCGCTTCTTTGGTACAATTAGTACAGGAGATCCGTAAGGGAAAACACTAGGCCGGATCCAACCCTTCTCTATGAGATCCTTGAGTTGTCGGCGAAGCTCATCGAGCTCACCTGGAGACATCTGATAGATCCTACCCTTCGGAATGCTAGACCCTGGGATAATCTCTATCGCGTGGACGATCTCCCTCTCAACAACCTCTTTCGGCTCTTCGAATAGATCAGGGTACCTAGCGGCCACTCCCTCTATCTCTGGGGTCGTTTTCACCGGCTCCCCTCTGCAGACCCTCCTCCGGGTTTTGCTTATAATAATTATAAAACGTAGTCGCACCCATGCACTCGTAGGACTCTATCAGACTACTAGCTTTATACTTGAGCAATCTGGCGGTTCCCCCATTGGGCAACGTGTGTTTGACTATTTTTCGGTCCCAGTCAAACGGGGTTGTGCAACCGAGAGGTAGTACATACTTAACAAGATGTCCATAGGGAGATCATCGCTGACTAGGAACGAGACTCGATGTCTCAGTTCCCCTCCCGTGTATGGGAAAAGACACTCAATGTCTTCAAGGTAGTCGTTGACTACCATGCGCTGTTTGTTGGCACAGGTTGACTCCACATGTCGGCTCAGGCGTTGCACTTGCCCCTCTAAGCGCAGCCTCTCAATGCACATGCGATTAATGAAGTTCCGCGTCGAGCAAGTGTCATAATAGGCCCCGGCCTTACGGCTGCCGATGACTACCTCGCCGACGAACAACTCACCCTTAGGGGCTTTGGCCATGGCCGTCCAAAAAGCTAGCGGGTTCGATCTAGACCACTCCTCCTCTAGCTCCTCTAAGGACTCAAACACATTCAGCGAACAGAGGATCGCTGGGTCCGAATGTGAATGAGGGACGACGATGGAGTCAGCAACTTGGGCCATCTCTCGAGATGGTGAGGGTGTGTCCACCACCTCGACCCTAACAGGAACAACTACTATTCCTACTGGCCCCAACGTGTTCCCCGGAGCAGTGCCATAACTGCTGGCCACATTGCTACCTACGGGAGCGGACGATCCCAACGCCTGCCCCATCGTAGGCGGGATCTTCTCGGTCACCTTCTTGTTGCGGCACTTGAATTGGTTGTGGCCATATTGACCACAACGAATACAGGTCTGCCTGATATACCGGTCTCTCCACACGTCCTCTATGAGACCCGCTTTCTCCCATGGAGGAGCGTTAGGGTCAACTTGACTCCTAAACCGGGAACCTCCACAGCGTCTACCGGTCGCCTTACCTTTCTGGACAGCGGCAGCGACTGTTCCACCCCCTGAAACTTCTACGCTGCCCGCCTTTGAACCCGCTCCCGCCTGGAAGTCGTCTTCTAACTTGATGGTAGAACCATCGTTGTCGATGAACATTATGCGTCCTTTCGCCTTCCAGTTGGGAGACAGTGTCTTCTTCCTACCGTCCGTCGTGGGTGTATGTCCATGCCCTATCTTTGCCTCTAGGGCCTTCCTGCTGAATGAGGGAAAGTTGTGCATATTGATGTTGGCCTCACCTGCCAACTGATTCCTGAGAGGCAAAGGAAAACATCTCAGGTATGCAGTGAGTAAGACCTGGGGGTCATAACGTACTCCATGAACACAGATCAGACGCTCTACTGCGGCTGTGGCTTCCCTTACCGACTTGAACTACCTGTTGTTCAAAGTCACGATCTCGTCAGTGGCCTTTTGAGCTTCCCGAGGATCATGCCACCTATCTTCCACCAGCTTAAGGAAGTCCGCCAGTTTCTGGTCAACTGCCCAAGTGCGGAAGTCATGACCGTATCCCTGTAGCTGTACTAAACCACTTAACCATCTTGCTCCACTCCCCTCTAAATAGGAGGCAGCCACAAGCACTTCCTCATGCGGCAAGGTCAATTTACATTTGACATAGACAAGCACTGACCTCAACCATGTGTCGAGGTTTTCACCCCTCTTGTCCCCTGTAAAGGGTTTGGGGGAGGCGATGGCCGTCTTTGGAACCCACTAGCTTTGTCCCGGTACCTGTCCCACTCCAGGTTGTGGACCTTGGGGACCAGGCTGCTGCACTAGCTGTTGTTGTGCAGACTATGAGACAGCAGGCTGCCCAGTTACGGCAACCTGCGACGGAGGTTGGGAATACACTGGTTGTACAGGAACCTGTACACTAGGACCTGTTGAGAACCCGCCTGTCAAAGGCATACTCAGGGAAACGGCTTGGACCGATGCTGGAGAGACATATCGGGAAACTCCAGTTACCGGTGGGACAAAAGGAGGAGGATGTACAACGGGCCAGGCACCAGGCCCGGACGACGATGGAGCTGCCTGCGCCCGACCGACCAATACGGCCAGACTATGTTGGATGTCCTGTAAGAGAGTCGTCTGGTGGTCCTGCATTTCTACTACATCTAGCAGGACGGTCCCTAGGGTCCTCACATCATCATCCATGTGCGTCAGATCCATCTCCTCTAACTCACTAGTGTCCGCTTGTCTCCGCTGCATCTTGGCTCTCCTTCTAATCATTTTCTCTTTCTCTGCGTTGATCTCTCCTAACGCCTGTTGTAGCTGTGCCTCGCGAATAGCTGCTGGCTGTATGGCGACCTCCTCGGGGGTCAACACTATCGGCTGGCTTGCCATAACGCCAGTGGACTGACTCAGGTTTTGTGCGACTGTTGACCCTTAAATCCCTGAACTACCAGCCCGAGAGCTCTGCTGCGCAGCAGTTGCCATGGCTGCTGAAGTAGCAGCCTCGCTCACGAATGCTCTGCTAGCCTCTGCGGCCCTAGCCCTTCGCTGCTGCCGTTGTCTCTCTCTTTGCGGGCGGAACAAGTATCTGTCGCCCTGTGGTCCGAATGCCAAGTGGGCTATCGGGCGTCTTGCCGATCGCAAGATCCTATCGTCCGGTTGTGGGACCTCCGTGTCACTCATAGTGTGACGAGTGTGAGGCTGCGGGAAAACAGGGAGAGCTGAGGGCGAGGAGAGAGAGAGGGAGAGAGTGAGAATACACACACACATTCACTCACTCGACACGACCGAGGGTCGGACGCAGACACAATGGCAAAGACACAAAGTCGAAGTCGTGGATTCCGAATGCCGAAACAGGAGCAAGTCACACTGAGTACGAGCACAACAGTTGAAAACTGGTGCCAGACTAGTCCCCGTACTGTACGGGGAGCCGGTATAAGTACCGGAAACACGTACGGTACCAGGGGTATTTCTACAAAGGCCCCGAGGGCAGAACTGAAAAATGTCGTATTTGAAAGTGGCGCCCGAATTGCAACATGGCGCCAGTTGTCCAAAATCCTACGGTACCAAAGGAGGGGTTTGGAAAAACGGTGCCAGGGCGAAAACGGGATGCAGCCGAAACAGCAAAATGATAGACCAGGGATCGAGCCCTAGCGGAGTCCGTAACACAGTCTACAACATTGTACACTGTCTGCACTAGGAGACTCTCGATGCATACCGCAGCATGATGTACAGACTGATTTAAGATAAATAAAATAAATAATCGGTGGCTATGTCAAAGACTACTCATTTGGGTTCAACATGTAAGTTCAGATTCCTACAAACGAAACTATTTCTACTTTGACTAGTTCACAAACAGGAAGCACAATGAACAGAGAACAGTTCTTACTATGTTGTCTGTCAGATGTTAATGGTTGTACATCTAACTAATCAAAATAAAAATGGAATCATTTGATTCGCCGTTTGCCTAATGGAATCTTTCCCAAACTTATCACCTGGAATCCACCCCTCCCTCAGTTCTTCCTGAATGTCTCTTGTCGCCAGCGTCCCTGAGCAATCCAGAACAAAGGTGTGCACACGGCCCACCCGTGTCCCGAGTCCTGCTGAGTTGGCCAGCCCTGCACAACATTTATCCTCGCATGCAGCGAGCCTTACACCGACTGATTCGCTGATCAGGAGGCGTTTTTATGGACTGCCCCCGAAGTCCTCAGGAATTATTTAACGTCCCAGACAGGACGACGATCACAGCTGATGGAAGGTCCCCGCCAGTACTTGTTTATAGACGTCCGGTACCCGTCTTTCCCGTAGGGCTGGCCTGCCCCTCATAACCCATCTATAGCGCAGCGAGCAGACAAAGGACAAAGCAGCAAAGCATGCGTGCTCTACTCCTAGTGGGTTGGCATGGTGACCGTGACCTAGTACTTCGTCCAAGGCCCTTCAGATAGCTCCACCCTCTCCTTCTAGATGATCCACGTGAACAATGCCGACTCTCAAGGTTGAGCGCACTCGACTCCTCACATCAGAGGACTCTCAAGATAGAACACACATCCTCATGGTAAGAAGTGTCGAAGAGGGTAGATAAGGCTAGGTGCAACGTACCTCAAAATAGCTGCCCCCAACCACAAATATTCTCACTAGATGACCTGATGTCGATTGTGATGACCAATCGCTGCTTCCGCACAACCAGCATTACTCAGCCGTTCCACCTCAGCATCAATCGCACATCAGATAGTTCTCATCACACTGTGAACACCCAATATACACCACGTAGCCTTCCTCGCGATCCCCTCTCCTCCTGGGTCGCCTGCTTGCCTTCGCCCTCCTCACTACACACCCCCTACGGCCGCTCGCTTAGCAGACCGCATGCATGTGCCGCATAGGCAGAAGACATGCGCCAGATGAGCGCACCGTACCACAGCTCCGATACCAAATTGCAAGGAAAATGAGCGATAGCCAACTTCAGAAACCAAGCAGCATCATACACATGAGACCAGATAGTCGTGACCTCGAACCAAAAGCAGAATTGCATCATGAGTCCCACCAAATAAGTGAACAGCAAAAGCTCATAAATGACAATGTTCGAATAGTCTCATCATCATCAACAAAGAACCAATGTCGACATCCTATCTGGCGCTCGGCGCTCAGACTACAAATGGCAGATCCTATCTGGCCTATCTACAATGCCGCTGATGACGTCAACAGCTCCCCGAAGTACGAGCAGATCTCGGCCAATGTCGTTCGCCTCAAGCACCAGCTATGTTTTTTGCCTCACTCATAACCTCGATCCCCAACTCACAGATGCCACATGCACCCAAGGACCACCATGCACCCCATCCAGCATACAGCAGCGCAGCTCGGCTATGGCTGCCTGCTCCTTGCAGCTGGCCCGTGAGCGCGTGAGCGCTGGGCAGCGTTTAGCGCAGCAGCGCTTGCGCAGCATGCAGCCAGTGCCCGAATATCGAATGCGTGGGCAGGCCCTTTCCTAAATGGAAGTGGCCTTCTTGCTTGCGTGCAGCCTGGCTGCGCTGGGCCCCTGCCCAGAAGCTTCCGGTAGTCCCAGAGAGGCTGAGCCCCAGTCCAAACGAATCAGGCCCTGGGCCTGTGGTGGTTGCCCGTGTCCAACTGCCTGCGGCTTCTATTCGGTCCATGTTGCGAATCTGGCCCAGGTCCTGCCTCGGTTACATTCGAAAGAGGCAGCCTGGGCCTGGGCACTCTCAACCAACTGGCGCTGCACAACTGCCTGAATTTACCCGATTCCATGATGACCCCAAAAATAGGCCTGTAGGCCCTGGGTCGAGCCTGCCTTCACTTAGGGCAGCCGACTGTACAGAAAATAGGGCCCAGTAGGGCAGATCAAGGCCTTGAGCCTCGCAACAATGTCTCCAATAATCATGAATGTGACCTCTGATACAATATCTCGTTACAGTAGACGAAAAGAGTGGAGGGGGAATAGACAGTAAAAGTGTGGAAGAGATAATCAATGGCCACCAGGAGAGTAGCGCAACATTACCCACTTCTTCTCCGGGTTTCCCCTTGCCTCCACGTCATCAAACAGTATCCGGTAACGAGTGTGACAAGTCCTGATCACATAGAAGTGCCACGTGGCACTGTTCCCTCATGAAGACAATGGAGACAATCAGCAACGCACAAAGTCGACGTCAACCTCAGGTAAGTATCCCATTCCTCAATCATCCACAGACCCCGATCTCCCTCCTTGTCGTGACCAATCACCTCATGTAGACAGCGTGGCCAATGCCACGTCAGCAATGAAGACAGGTGGCATGCACTACATCAGGAGAGGCTGGCGCTTAGCAGAGAAGGCGCCAGCATGCTGCCACAGTCCCGCGTCGTCGTCCACGGTGCCAGCACACAGCCAGCGTCAAGCCAGCGTCCAGCCAGCGTCAAGCAGCATAGCAAGACTGAATGTTGACTTCCTGGAGACCAAGCCTTATGTAGTGTTTGGCGAGGCAGTCTGGCCTCAGGTCTCCCATCCACATTCGTACAGATTGACTCACAGCCAAGGGCCTGGATTGTGTACAGTTGCAGACTTCCACTTGGTCTTGATGCTGTCTGGGTACCTGCATACAAACAAGTGTGTGCGTCTGACCAGCGGCCTGGGCTGGGTCCACTTTTGACTTTGACTGTTGGCCTCGGGCAGTTGACTTTGGTCCGCTCAGGCCCTGGATCCACGTAGGGGTCTTTTTCCCCTTTCGGCCTGAGACCGAGTGGTGGCCTGGCAAAACCCTTAGGCATTCAACGAGGCATACTGCATGGGTTATTGCAATACCACGGTGGTGGTTGCAGGAT